AAGGGAGATTAACATTTCTCCTTTTTTGCAGTGGCCCTTTTCATGTGCTTATATTTTCTCTGATATTAAAGCAACTGTTTAACATATGCATTGTTGTATACTAAACACATAGTCTAATGTCAGCAGCTTATTTGGAAGTAAACTGAAACATATCAACAATGAAACATTGATTTCTTGTTGTACCTTAGAGATAAATAATCTGATTTACATCAATCTGCTCCTTTCAGATGTTTTGGTCTTTGGTGGTTTTGTCTTTAGCTTCCCTGCATGTATGACCGGCCAGCATGCAGAGTTAGCATGTGGGACAGATGTTTACGCCTAAGGTTCTTTCCATTTCCTGCTGTTTTTATGTGCAATCACTATTTGCTTCGCACATTAAAAATAAGCAATGCTACTTAATTTCTTGGTCAACTTTTCTGCACACAGGGGCTAATATCAGTGTTTGTCCACTAGGGGACAGAAGAGAAATATCAAACAGTTGGAGATTTTTAAATACTCAGTGACCCAGATGGTTCTGTGTTGTAATAAACCTTTAGCTGGCTGCTTCTCCAATGAGCCCAGGAGATAAAGTGCAAAAAGAACTTGAGCCTCAGGTAAAGATCCTCATCTCAGCAAATGTAAAACAGATCCGTCCACTTTATTCTGCATACTGAACACATCTCACGGGACAACCAGAAGCATTATGTAAGAACAGCAGCTCTGATTCCTGAGAACAAATATTCAGAGAGAGGACCGAGCTGGACAGCAGGTGTGTTATTGAAGCACAGCTACATGACTGGGAACATTTCCAGCTCTGCTGCATCAAAGATCTCGTCAACCTCGTTCCAAGGAAAAAGACATGATGAAGAAACAAAGGAAAGGTTTCCATCAACAAGAAGCATCCTGAATCTTTTTAGCCAGCTGCATTTATTGCTTTTACACTCTGAGGGAGAGAAGGAGCCTTCATAGAGTCAAAGGCATGTCAGTAAATGTATATTTTTAGTGTATTCCAGGAGGAAAATCTATTTTCTGAAAAGTGGATGGAGGAGGGGATGGATGCTGAGAATTGGCTGGATCACCCACTCATTTTGAGGATCTCCCAGAGCACATGCCACCGAGTGTGACGAATCTGTGACTCTGCTGTAAGAGAAGGCCTTAAATCCAGTGCAGGAAGAAGCCAGCTTATAAAGAACTGATTACTCACTGATTCACTGCTCTAATAAATGCACATGTCTCATTTCCATTAGCTACACTCATGATTCATTCCAGCACTGAAACATTTTCAGCACCAAACACAGAAGATATGATTCAGTCCAGAACTATAATCACTTATTGTGCACTAATAGGGATTTTACAGACTCTGCAGATTCAGCTCTGTGTTAAAATATTTCTCAAAGGTGTCAGATTTTGTTATTTATTAAACAACTGTTTAATTATAACAGAAAAAACCCAACAACAGTCAAATGACTTAGCTGCACATGTGCTTCCCACTACAAATCCCTACACCATAGAAACTTTGAGAGGCAAACAGTAAATTTTGCAGTGTTTAAAGTAACACTTTCAGAGTGCATTTGGTCCCAATTGGAATTAGTGTTAAATTAGAACTCTACATAGTGTATATCTTACTGCAGTTGTTGGAATAACTCTTAAAGAGTCAATGTACTACACATGAACACATGCAGAGATTATTAATGTAACTAAGCATCAAGGTTTTAGAACTGAGGTGAGAAGTTAGGAGAAATTTTACAGCTGCTTTTCATTAAAGTTACCATCGGTGAGTTTGCAGAAACCAGAACTAATAGCCAGTCGGACCATAAAAGCCAGTAAGTGGGTACCAACATGAGCTACATTAATAATTGGCAATCTTTTTGCTCATAGCCTGGTCTGATTCGGAGAGACGGCATCCATCCCACTTTAGATGGTGCAGCACTTCCTTTTTTATTAGTCCTCCAAAACACCGACAACCCAGGGTGCAGACCAGGAAGCAGAGTTGTAGTTTAATATACCTCTCTGCAGCTTCTCTACTGTTACCCACTAATTACTCCATCCAGACAGTGTCTTGGCAACTACCAAAATAAAATAAATTAGAGAAGAAACCCAAAGGAGAAAATCATGATTATCTAATAAAAATAACTCCAATTGGGGAAAAAGATTGATCGAATAAATGTGGTTTATCTAACTTGAGATCTCCTTCTTCAAAAAGTCTGCTAGTTAATGACTTGATTTTTGATAATCATACTGATTTATGTTGCCTTACAGACACTTGGCTGCAGCGAGTGGATTATGTCAGATTTTTTGAAATGAGAAAGCTTCCTGGACGGGAAGCGAAATGTCTTCAAACTTGGAAAAAAAAGTCCAGTGGATTGTTTTTTTTTTGGAATTATGTGAACATAAATGAGGCAACTCCTTCTGGTTATTTAAATTTTCACATACCCAGAAATTCTGAGCAAGGAGGTAGAGTAGCGACAATCTTTCACTCTGACTTACTGATTACTCCAAAGGCAGTTAATAATTACAACTCTTTTGGACATTTAACCTTTAGTTTCCCTCATCCTGTAATACCCTCAGAAACTAGGACCCAATATTCAGACCGAGCAGGACGATTTTCAACAGGTTTTTTTTTCTTTTCAACCAAAGGTTTACAGCAAGCGGCTAGGCGTCAGCGGGGCGGAGATTCTCTGCAGAGATAGGAAACACAGGTCAGTGACTAGAATGTCGGGCTGGTCACGACTTGGAGCAAAAGCCACTGACCTGATTCAAAGTTCAGTCCGATCTCCAAGAAAAAGGAAGAAGCCAGGACAGATGTCATCCACTGTTTGCAGCCATGGCTGCCTTCTGAACCCCGAGTGATGATGAGCTGAACGCCAGCCAATACTGAGGGAGTAAAAGCGTCCATAAAGGGAATCCAAGCCAAGGTCAGTGAAACAGTCCAGGATCGGTAACCAGCAGAATCCAGGAAAAACAGTAAAAAACCCCAAAGCAGACAGCAGAAAGGGCAAGGCAAAAACTACAACCCAAAACAGAAAACAGGTCAGGATCAGAATAATAGATAAGACTCAGTTGAACGCTAGAGTTACTCTC